CCCATTTTTCTTTACTCATTGATTTGTAGTTGAATACTCTTCTTTTACATTTGTTTTTGTATTGTTTTTTAGATAAGACGAATGGAAAAATCTATTTTGAGATTAAGATTTGGTGGTCACTCATAATAGTAATATATATAAATAGATTTGCCAACAAATATTTAATAAAATTACTGGTAAGATTTCAAAAATTAAAAAAAATAAAAATAAAAAAAATTAGAAGGTTTAGTGAAATTTGCTTAATAAAATTTTATGATATTAATAATTTTTGTTAGATTATTTATAAATTTATATAACTTTAAAATTAAAATATATTTAAGATATTTAATTTTAGATTATATCATTTAGTATATATGTGTTGTAACACACTTTTGATCAACCAATTAAAATATAAAATCAGGTGTAATATTATACATTCTTGAAAATTTAAATCAAGTGTTCATTTTATCTAAAATCACTTATAACTCAAAATTTCACATATGCAACTATCTTTTGGATCCTAACAAAAAAATTTTTTACATGAAATCACTATAAGCCCATTATTTATATCTATCTTAACCTTATCTAACACTAACTCTAATCATATAAAAACTATTGTTTTGATTTTATGTTATATCTGATCTTATGGGATGCATTACAATATATCTGTGCAAAATGATTAAATCTTTTGATTTTATTAGTTTGTTACAAGAGAAAATGGGATGCCAATAGTGCCCTTATAATATTAATTGTGTCAATTCTGGTCAAATTCTTTAATAAATTTCATGCTATTTATTTTTAAGCCAAGGATTACCACAAGCAGTTGAGTAGGTACAGCTTCATATTGACTGATAGCTTCTCATCTGCATAATGCAGGATGGCTATCAACATGACCATCTGATATTTATGTTCAGTAGCTATAATATGGATGGCAGATTTCCTTAATAGAGAGGTTAAGGTTGCGAATTGAGATCAGCTAAGGCTGAATTGGTGATAGTTAGTATGGAATGAAAACTGCGCTTTCTTCTAAATCAGCCATTTTCTTATAGCATCCATTATTAAGATAGAATTACTATATGCAAAAGGTTATTTAGAATCATAATCTTCTTGTAATCTTGATTACAGGATTATACGGAATTGGTTCTGTTTCTGTTGCTTTTTCCACAGAGACATACACCTGCTTATTATAATTACTAAAACATAGAGAAATGTTAAAGCTAGGTGCGTTAGAATTACTTTTTGATGCAGTTTGGGTTACGTTTTTGATGAAGTAATGGTGAGTAGTTTATGTAAATATCAAGAAGATAATTTATGCAGCATGTAGATCATTTCAAAGTTTTACCAACGCACCTAGCTTTAACAGATCTCTAAAACAGATATAGACTTGACGATTTCATATATCATTATGCAACCAAAATTACCATTCCTTTTTAGTTAGATTTATACACGAGATTACAGCATGTACGTATGTATAAAAATGATGCTTAGATCTCATAATTATCTTGTATAAAATTTCTTATAATAAAATTATCACCTGTCACAAGTATCCTATATATTATCGATTATTTCGTTTATATGAAACAAAGCGTGCATTCTCAAATTATATAATTATATATTATTCTTTGCCATGTGCCTATAAACTTATACGGATTTCATATTTTATGCACATATATGCAAGATTGACCAATTAAATCGGATAAAGTTACATTTGCATAAACAGCCATCATTTTATTATGATAGGATTTAAGTTAAAATCAAAATAATAAAAAAATTTTTAAATTTTATCTTATAATTTTTTAGTTCTATTTTTTAAAGTTTATATAATTTATTTGATAGGACTAAGTGACGTACACCATAGTTACTTATTTCTGCAAGTGATAAAAATCCAAAAAAAGAAATTTTATAGGTAGGTAGAAGGGCTTTACTTATTTGTGCCAATAATACAAACTCCTAAAAAGAAAATAGCTAATCAGTAAGTTCAAATTTTAATTGTTCTAGATTAGCCCAATATGAATTCCAAATATGTGCACACAAAAAATTAGTGTTTAAAGAGTTCTCTTATGTCAAGCAAAAATCAGGCTCCAAGTATTCCAATCCAGGAAGCTCTAGGCTAATATCTATGCACAGGGTCTAATGATTCTTATTCGCTCTTTTCAAGCATAATTAACTATTAATTTCTTTTATTATAACAATTAAAATGATAAATCTTTTGATTTTATTTTGCAAACTTTTTTTAATTACATTCATAGTGAAGAATCTTGATGTGTACATAAGAAAATATTACATATTTCTTCAAGCCTACTAATTACATTCTCTTTTTCACTTAATGCAACCTTATTAAGATTAGTTTCTTAACAAAGCATTATTAAACATTCAACCCATTGATCAATATTACTATACAGCTTATTAGATTTTTCTTCTTTCTTTGAATATTAGTAATACTGTTAGCAATATCAACCTCAACATTATTGTCATGTTTATTTAAAAGTAAATAAGTAGTATGTTCTAGTATTCGAATTTTATATTCTTGTGAAATGGCATATATATGTTTGCATAGTGTAGTACTTTTTATATAAGCTTCACAATTTCAAATCAAATTAAAAACATTATTATTAGTTGTTTAGCAAAGTAATTAATTACCTTTGTTTTGAGCCAATTTTACAATATATGCAGATTGTTCTAATTGAAAAATTGAAGCATTACTAATATCAATTGAATTCATTTCAAATTTTTGATAACTTTTATTATATGAACCCATTTGTTCAATATCTAATTCATACTAACAGTCTTTTGACAATAATTACACAATATCTTTACTGTCAATTCATAAACAAAGTAATCAATGCATCTGTTAAGATGTGCTGTAAGAAAAAGGTATTTTATTTTTTTATAATATGCTTCAATATAATTATTTGTATTAATTCTATGCACTTTATCATACTGGTAACAATCGATCCAAAGCTTTATAATTAGTTAAGAATTTAATAAATTAAATTTTTAATAAATAACAAATTTATTTAGTATCTTTTTTTTGTCAATATTATGTATTAAAATATTTTACTGCTGAAGTATATTTCTATCTTTGTTTAAATTGTTGAATTGCAAATTCAACATGATTTATTTTTACTATTTAAGATATAATCCAAATTGTAAAACAACTTATTACATTCATTTGCTTTGGTATCATCATTATCTAACATCACATTAATCAGATCTATCTAATTATCTTTTTTTAATACATTTAACCACACTTTAATCACTTTACTATTACTTGATTCTATAATTAACCATGCTAGTAGTATACCACAACTGCTATTAGGATGATGAATCAGAATTGTAAACAGTGCATATTTGTAACAATTTGTATTATGGGTGAATCTATATATATAAGCTAATATATATATATATTTTATATAAATATTATTAAAATTTTTACATCAATTAACATTAAATAATTAAATACTTTCAAAATAATACCTTATAATATTGTTGGTATAACTTAAACTGCCATGGCATATAAAATCCAAGCAAGAATTTTTGTTATTATTGCATATTTTAAAACATGAAAGAATAGAATCATTTAAATTATTTAAATTCTCTCAATTTTTCTTTAAAACTTTAACCTATTGTTGAATGCTTATTACATCTAAATCATCATAATAATATTTTAAATAAATTTTCTTATAAATTATATTATAAATGTCTTTATAAGTAAGTAGATGGTCTTTGCTTGGAACAATATTGTATGAAATAAAATATCTGCATAAAAATTTTTTGAATTGTGTGATTTCAGAATTTTTCATTGTTTAAACAATGAAAAATTCCGAAATTACATAAGTTTGAATACTAAACCAAATATACAAATAATAATGTATATATATTTTTCAATTGTTTCTTCGGGAGCTTTCATTAATTGGCATATTGAAAAAAGTGACAATTCTTGATGAGCAAATTTTTTATTTGTTAAATTTTTTCTTGTGATTTTTTTAAATATTAAATATCAGCATGACTGCCTGATATATGATTATTATGTTTATGCTAATAATAAACTACTACAACCTCAAAAGGAACAGCTATCCAATAATTAATCTGCAAAACACATTTATATCACTTTCTTTAAGGGTAGGGTGTACAAATTTCTATTTTTATATAAAATAGATTGTACATCAACTTTGTGTATATGATATCATATGATTTACATGTAAACATCATATGATTCGACCAATCAGAACTAGCAATTTTTGTGTAATCCTAGAAAGACATATAATGACCCTGACAACTTTAATTATATATAAAGTTCATTTTTTTTAAATCAATATATATTCTGCAACTTTACTATTATAAAAAAACTAGTTTAAACTACATATTATATAAATATCATACAAATTAACTGAGATGTTAAAAAGTTTAATCAGAAGCAATTTTTTATTTACTATGTAAAAATTCAATGTACTATGCAGATCATATGAAAAATGATCAATGTACACCCTACCCTTAATTCTTTTTGAATATGTTACTTTTTTTGGGAAACACCACCCTCTGTACGATCAGTACATACTTGCTTTGTACCAGTGCATAAACAAGTATAATATTCAGACCAAGCTTCATTTTTATTTTTGTAAGTTTCATGGGATTTATAAAATTAATGTTCTTAGATGATTCCTCCTTTTTTATCTAGTCATTATACGTATTAAGAAGCAAAGTAAATTTACAAAAACCCTCCTGCTTATCAAGTATATAATAAAGATTGAGTTTCATTGCAGGCTTGGATATAATTTATAATTATATTGGTAAGTTCTTGTCATGTTTCTTTACTATTGTCATGCTCTTCAAATGCAAGTAGAATCAAATATAGGTTGACTAGATGCAAATTTGCTAAGCAAGTGTTCTTCAAGTGCGGCTTCTTCAAGTGCAGCTTCTTCAAATCCAGCTTCTTCAAGTGCAGCTTCTTTAAGTGCAGCTTCTTCAAGTGTGGCTTCTTCAGGTGCAACTTCTTCAGGTGCGACTTCTTCAAGTGTGGCTTTTTCAGGTGTAGCTTTTTCAGGTGTAGCTTTTTTAAGTATGGCTTCTTCAGGTGCGGCTTCATTAGATGTAACTTTATTAGATGCAAATTCAATAGGCACTACCTCATTAAACATGACTTCATCATATTCAGGTATGAACAACATAACTTATAAACTTTGTTTATACCCATAAAAAAAAAAAACAATTATCAAAGGTTATTAGGAGTTGAAGATACTTAGGTAAAAAAAAAAAAAAAGGGGCATCAAATGGGCAAATATCAAAATACTTGAGTGCCAAAGGAACATAAAAAAAAAAAGATCAAGCATTAAATATTCAAAAAGGGCAAATCAGAATCATAAATCGTGAAACCCCGGGTAGGTATCGGCCCAGAGCCCCGGATTGGGAGGCTCGGAGGCCGATTTTCGCTTGACATAAGGGAACCTGTGTTTAAATCGGCCTTGATACACTAATTAAAAATGTTAGGAAAGAAATTTTACATATAATGGGCAATAGTTTTGTTTATTTACAAAATCAAATTTCCTTTTTTGTGTTGTATTACTGGCACAAATAAGTAAATCCGGTAGAAGGTAAATCTTGGTGTAACGTGAAATCGAAGGCTTTTTCAAAACATCACCGGTAACTCAAAATTTTGCCTAAGAAATCGCCTTTTAAGTTCTAAATAAAAAAATTCCTGGCCAAATTTACTATACGACGTTCCTCATACCAACCTTAACCTAACTCTGACGCTGGTAAAGATTTCACGTGCTTTTAGCGAAATAACAACAAACGAATTTTCCCTATTGGCATGTGATTTGTATCACTTGCAGAAATAAGTAAATCCCCTAACCCTATATAAATAAACTTAAAGTATTTTATCACATGAGCATGAAGCGATCCTGGGCAAGATAAAATTTATTCAAAAGAAAACATTATTTTTATAAGTTATCATTCATTAAAAGCTAAAAAATACATAATATTGTTATCGTGTTAAATGCTAGTATCGTCAGAATCGCTTCTTATAAAAGTCGGTGAAACACCTGATCTCAGTTGATTTGAACTTTTATATACATGTAAAAAAAAGCATTCAAAAAACCATCGTACAAAAATTTCAGGGGAAAAATTTCGATATTGCGATTTTAGATTAAACTTTTCTATTGTGAATAATATAAAAACTTGTGTAACATATTTTGTCAATATAAAACAAAGTATCCAATCAAAACAAATACTAATTTAGTAATTAAAAACTGTTCAAATATCAAGTACATAGCATATATTAAAAAATTATTCTCTTATTTTGGATATTCTGAAGAGCCAGTTTTCAAACTTTGTTCCGCATCAAGCCATTTCAATATATGAATAAGAGCATAAATGATACCTATTTATTAGAAAAATAAATAAATATTATATTATATTTTGATAGTAAGCAACTTAATATACAAACCGGGAATAATTGCGGCCGCTGTGCATATTATGCTACTAAGAAATGGATTATCCTGAATTTTAGGAAAGCAACAACAAATACAAGCAAAAAATGGTTCCAAAATACACCAGCAAGTAACAATTTTAATTATTTTAAGCAAGGTAGATCCATTCTTTTCTTCACGGTCTTATATCTTCTTTTTTATCTCCTCCATCTCCCTTTCCAATAAGCTAACGCAAAGGGGAGGAACGAAAATCGCCAAGGTAAAATAAAGGAGAAAATAAGGAGTTTTTTCTAATTGCCAACTTTTAATTAATCCCATCACAAAAATTATAATGATAACAAGCAAAGCAAAAGCTATTGGTAATACAATTGTCAACATTCTCTTTGTTTCACCCTAAAAATTTAATAATTTTATCAATCAGATTATTCTAAAAAATAAAACATTTTACTTACTGAAGTTTCTGATGTTGTCGTTGCCTAAATTTAATATTTTAGCCATATAAAGTTATACAAACAAATAGAAACAATATAGAATATATGTTATTTACCATAGTTACAGAATGAGGAATAAACTGAAATATTTAAAATCCTATAATAATTTACGATAAAAGCCATAAAAATTTAGACCTTATTTATAAGAAAAAGTTTTAGAGATTTTAAGATTTGAATGCTATCCATTACTATATCTAGCATATGTACATTGTGACAGTGAAAAATGGTACTACGTCTAAAAAATATGTTTAACTGTCGAAAAACAACCAAAAATGAAGACTACTCGAAAGAGGGCGTGGAAGATTTGGTCCGAGAACCAAGGATCCTACTGCCACTAGGATCCCTGGGTCTTTATTTAATTATGATTCTTATTTACCTATTTTCGATCTGCTCTCGTTAGTTACATGAAATCAAGGAGCTTTTATACATCAAGAACATTGGGGCTTTGCTACTACGATTAAGATCATTATAAGTATAATATAGCTATTTAGAGTATCTGGGGGATCTATGGCTAACGATAAGCAATTCATACTCATTTACATGACAATGACTTTAGTTCCCACCATGTAAATACCAGCGACGCCTTACTGTTGTTCTCAATGGAGCATCGCATCAAGCCAAACCCGAATTAGTATTCTTAAATTTTCGCTTTGTCAATCAATCCACATTTCGGGTCCCGAGTCATGTGGATTGAATTACGTTTTCATAATTGCGGCTAGGTCACATTTCACCGTCACAACATACGTACTCCAAAAGTTTAACACGGTTACACAAAAAATAAAAAACATAGCACAAATCGAATAAATAAATTATAATATTAATACATAGTACATAAAGATTGATGCAACTATATATGCTGTCTTTAACAGAATGCAGGAATATATATTTGTTACATATTCTCAATGAGATGTTTTTATAGTTTTTTTGCATTACTGTGTTAAACTTTTGGAACCGCTGTACATGACGATGCAAGAAATCTGCAAATCTCCTTGCATACTAGGATGGCAACTCAATTACATAGTCAAAACTATATGCAATTCATGAGAGTGTGCCAGGTTTGTGGCGTATCTTTATATATCTATCTCAATAATACATAGAAATATTTTTATATATCTATCTCAATAACACATAGACTTATCTTTATATATCTATCTCAATAACACATAGAATTATTTTTATATATCTATCTCAATAACACATAGACTTATCTTTATATATCTATCTCAATAACACATAGAATTATTTTT